TCCTCCTCCTCCTCCTCCTCCTCCTCCTCCTCCCTCTGCCTCCTCTGGCTCCTCCAGCTCCTCCTCCTCTTCCTTTTTCTCCTCCTCCCGTACTTTCAATGGGGCCCAGGGCTTATGCATGATAGGTATGTACTCTACCACTGAGCCACACCTCAGCTTGTCACATCTTCTTTTCCAGGTCACCCTGCACACAGGACTGGAGGTGCCAACAAACCTGGGGCGGCCAAAACTGTCAGGCAACTAGCCTGGTGGCCAGCTGCCCAGGTGGCTGTGACCTGAGGCTCTCACAAGCAGAGCTGGGCCACAGAGCAAGGGCATGACAGCAATTCTTAGGTGTGTCCCAACAGCCAATAACATCTGAAGATGGTTTCTTTGTGGGATGAGGAATAAGCCTGTGGGCCACATAGACCACACTGTGATTGCCACAGTCAGTGGTGGTCATACATAATGCCTCCTACCTTCATTCCACACACATACTTCTGAGCTCATTGCCCCCAGGACTCCCTCGAGGGAGCACTTGAGAAAGCCTCAGTTTCTTCCTTGTTTTCTGCCATCTGAAGGCAATTTTTTTTAAATGTTTTGGAGGGAGAGAAGGCAGATTTCGAGATTGACATCCTAAGAAGAGAGAGTCAGCAATTGTGATATCACTCTGTGCCTGTGTGTTACCTGCTTCAGGGCCACTGCCCCTCCTGGAGTTCCAAGTTGGCAGTCTGTTCCCTCTGCTGGGAGAAACTCCTTGGGAAGTTTGGCCCTGGTCTTCAAAATATGATACACCACCTGCAGAGTAATTCAGGACCGGTGGGGAGGGACACTAATCATAAAAGGGCTTCCTTAGGGCCTTTATTAGCAGTTCTCTCTCTCTCTCTCTCTCTCTCTCTCTCTCTCTCTCTCTCTCCCTTAGGGCCTTTATTAGCAGTTGTGCTCTCTCTCTCTCTCTCTCTCTCTCTCTTCCTTAGGGCCTTTATTAGCAGTTGTGCTCTCTCTCTCTCTTCCTTAGGGCCTTTATTAGCAGTTGTTCTCTCTCTCTCTCTCTCTCTCTCTCTCTCTCTCTCTCAGAGGCACATATGCATACATGGTATGTGTGACAATCTGCTACATTTCTTTCATTCAGTTCTTAGTTGTTAATCATAAATGGAAACACTAGAACTTGAAAGACAGTGACACGTTTTCCCCGGGTGGTGGCTTTTTCTGGAATCAGCTTCCAAAGAGATTAAAGGAAGTATGTCCACACTGCCTTCCTGGGCTGAGTCTCAAGCACAGAAACAGCAGACCTGGGAAGGCCTTACATTGCAGTGTGCACCCCTGGCCTCACCCAGTGCCCTCATGGAAGCCTCACGGACCGCCCTGATGGCAGACAGGGGTGACTCTGCTGTGACGGGACAGGGATTCTGGGAGAAGACTGGAACTGGATGGCAACTTGTCCTGCAACTTGTTTCTTTCCACATGAGCCAGGGTTCCCTGGAGTATGGGTAAGGCCTCCTCCTTCTTGTGAACCTGACCTTGCCTGTGAGGTCCATGGAGAGTCAGCCTGCCCTCCTCCCTTCCTTTCCATGTCCTGCAGTCTCCAGCTCTGCCTGGTAGCTATTTTGCTTTCTCCTTTGGAAAGAATATTTTATCAGGCATTTCATTCTACATGGAGGAATGACTTGTCTATCTGCTAGGCTCATTTTTATCAGACTCACCTGCACACCGGCACCAACTGTGCTTCCTCAGTCATCTCTGTGCCCAGACCCTGCACCTGTTTCCAAGTACCCACCACTGGGCTGCACAGACCCACCAGTCCTACCTCAGAGCTCCTGCTCGTGGCCCTTGTCTCCTCAAGACGCAGTCTGCAAGGCCATCTGCCCAGCATCTTCCAGGAGCTACTCAGCACCTGACCCTGGAATCGCCTGCTTTGTGGAGACTCTGCTCTGGCCTCTCTGGACTCTTCTTGCTGAGTGGTCTCATGCTCAGCTTCTCATCCCCCATCTAGAGCCCTCAGGGTGATGCACAGGGCTCTTTCTACCATGTCCTCAGTTGCTCAGCAGCTCCTGCTACCCCTTTCCTGTGGAAGGCCCCAGTGGAGGGAGGAGCAGGTGACTTAGAGTGAAGAAGATGGAGGCGCCTCTTGCCTTCCTGGGCCCAAGGAGCTGCATGTGGCCATGGTCAGCGAGTGCCAGTGTCTGGCTCTCTTGTGGAAGAGTTCAGAAGCCCTGGAATAAGAGCAGGACTGGGAAGGCTAGTCAGGGGAGCCTCACAGTCTCCAAAACCTGGGTCACCAGGGAGCCTCAATCCTTTGGGACTGTCAGTCACCCACTTGGGGAGCAGGAGCCACGTAACCATGCCTGGACCTGTGAATGGCTTTGGGGACATGAGGAAATGGCCACAATTCTAAGTGGCTTTTTCTTTTTCTCTTTTTTCCTTTTTTTGGTGCTGGAGAATCCAACCCATGACCTTGACCTTGCATATGCAAATACTCTATCACTGGCTGCACCTCCAGACCCGCAGTCCTCCAAGAGAACTCTTGATTGTTGTTTTTGTTGTTTTTCCTTCTTTTAGTTTTGGTTTATTTGAGACATGGTCTCACATTGTAGCCCAGGCTGGCCTGGAACTCACTATATAGCTCAGGCTGGCCTGGAACTCACAGCAATCCTCCTGCCTCTACCTCCTCAGTGCTGAGATTACAGGGGTGAGCTACCACACCCAGTTCTGGCGGCCTCTTTAAGGAGAAGGGTCCTTGAAGTTGAGTGACAGCCAACTCCCCACCCCCCAAAGCAGCCTGAGTAGGGAGCGAGGTGTCTCTCTTCCCTCACCAGAGCCCAGAAGCAATATGCTGATACAAGGGACAGCTCAGGCAGCTCTGCACAGTCACTCCCCTGCCTTCTGCACAGAGCACCTTTCAGGGACAAGAATGCACCCAAGAGTGAAAGGTGGAGCCACGTCACACATGGGGTTTTGAAAGATGAGAAAATTGAAGGTACTTAATTTCCCATGCCAGGAAGGCCCCAGAATTCTGAGTGACAGATCAGTCTTGTCACTGTGAGTCCTTACTACTTGGCACTGTGGTGACATTTCTTCTGTACACAATGTCAAGATGAGGCTTTGGTTAGACTGGCTGAAAAAGAGCCTGGTGTGAATCTGTCCAGTATCTGTGAGAAAGGAATTCAAGATAGCTCTGTAGCCAGTTCTCTGGGTGGGTCAATGAATGTCATTCTCTTTTAAATGAGTGTCCTTTACGACACCACATGTAGCACCCCAGCTCCTCCCTCATGACAGGGCAGTAGCACCCACAGCCCAGGCTTTTCCTACTCTGTCCTGTCTGGAAACAGGGTCTAGTTTTGGAGGACGGGATGCCTGGCCTAGGCACAGTGACAGTGTATGTGGTCTAGGCTGCATCTTTAGCCCTGTATGTGCTCCAAAAATGCCCTTAGCCTCCCTGGAGCCCAGAAGGCTCTAGATCCATGAAGCAATATACTGACACCAGGGTAGCCCTGGAACACAGGGCTCTCTCTCAGCCCTCTCAGGTCAAGAGCAGAGTGCAGAATTCCATGTGCACATAACTTCCTCCAGGTACATTAGCATGTCAGTCTTAATTCTAACTTGAGTGAAAGGCCTAGTCCTTGAGTGGAGGCAGGAGTCAACACAGGTGACTTGGACTCGCCAGTCGTGAAGCTGCCAGTTCCAAAGCCACCTATGGCTGAGAGGCAGGGAGAGTGGATGAAACCCTCTGGGGTCTTAACGTAGGGTGTGAAGAATACCATCCAAGGACTGTGGGAGTGACCTCAGGGCTTGTATCTCTTCTGATGTTTGTGGTAGGGCCTGTGTACTGAACAGCATTTAGCAGCATTCCTGGACTGTACCTTCTAGATGCCAGTAGCACCCTCAGTTAATGTGACAAACCTAGAGGTGATTAGCTGTCCTTTCAAAGCTTCTCTGGCTCTAGCTCGTGCTATTGGTCTGTTGTATGGTGACATTCATGGTGGTAGCAGTGTCCTCTCCTGTGTCACACAGGAAGCTTGTCCCAAAGCTGCCTGTCATGGTAATCCAACACAAGCATTCTCTACAGGTCCTCAGTGTGGCAGGTTGGGAAAGGGGTCACATTTCTGTTTACTGAAAATGGCATCCAACCTCTGGCTCTGTTCCTAGAAAAACAAGCCCTTCCCTTGATTCTTCTTGGCTACACTTTATTGGGAACAACCGGGACTTCTTGATGGATATGGGGACTTCAGCTGGTTACAGAAATTTCATTAGTTACTGTCAGCTGTTCAAAGCCCATGTTTGTCCTTGGAATTCTGGTACCTTGGGAACAGCCCATCGTCACTGACAGCCAGGTGTGGGGTACTGGCCATAGGTGGTCCTCGCAGCTTTGGTAAAAAAGTTGCCAAGCCAGGTGTGGTGGTGCATACCTGTAGACAGCACCCAAGGCAGAGGCAGAGGTAAGCTGATCTCTGTGAGATTGAGACCAGCCTAGTCTACATAGCGAGTTCCAGGCCAGCTGGACTATAGGAAACACTTTCTCAAAAAAAGGTTGCCAAGGTGAAGAGGGGTTTTGGGGTGGGACAGCAGGTACAGCCCTTAGAACCTATTTCTCAAGTTGTTTTTGATGTTGGCTCATGGCATGCACAGGAATAAATCTAATTGTTTTGTGCCTCAGTATCCCCACCTCAAATGGAACCAGGCATACCAACCTATCTCCTCAGTTGTATCGTAAGGATCATGGAATAGTCTCTCCTCTAGAGTCCAGGGCAAATGACTCATGTTCAATGGCTCAAATGTGGGTGACCTTTCCTGTGTTCTAAATGTCGTCATCCAAGCGTCCTGTGACTAGGCAAGTATTTATCACACAGCCACCTGCCTGTGAAAGAGGCATTTCAGGCAAGGCTCACATCAAGTATATCTCATTCATGGAGAGTCTGGCACTGTTTGAGGGTGCTGAACAGGCTAGACCTGACAGTAACCTCCTCCCAAGTGCTGAAGGCCTCTGCATGCAAGGTCCCCCTAAGCTAAGAAAGGACATTAGCTAGCCTTCTGCCTCCTGTTACCTCAGTTCTGGTTTCTGGAGGTCCCTCTCCCCATGGTCTTTCCCTTTTGATTTTCAAACAGCAGGAGTGACTTTGGAAGGCACATATGAATGTTGTAAGATGTGACTGAACTAACTTCAAGGGGCTGGCTGGTCACAAGTCACTTTCAGATAACTGACCATTCTTGGGAAGTCCTGGTGCAGGCTATGAAGAGGGGAGGGGTCATGACTTTTTTTCCATGAATGATGTTGACTTTGGTGGAAGAAGTTGGGACTTGACTCTTAGGTGAGGTGATTTCTTCAAGCAGTGCAGCTCACTGAGGGCCCAGCTGTCAGCCCAGACCTGGGAAAGACCTCAGAGTTTCAAGGCCAGCAGGGTGGCACTGGGCACCAAGTCTTTGGGCAAGGCTCTTAGCAGAGACCAAAACCAGGCCGTGGGTGGCTGGTGGTTGTGGAAGCAGGACATGGCTGCTTGAGTTGTGGTGGCCTTTCCAACTCCAAACCCCTGGAGACTAGACTTCCTAAGCACCTCACTTTCTCAGCACCGAGGGAAAAGTGGGGCACAGGCACAACAGAAAACATGAATGCATGATGTAGAATTGCCGCCTTTGTGCTATGCAGTGTATTGAGCATGAAAGGTGTTTGTGTAATGTTGGCAAAGGAATTTAACAGAAGCAAAAACTGTATATCCTTGTTTTGGCCCATTTTCCTGCCTTTCCTTGACTTCTCTCCCAACCCTCCCCACCACATCCATTCTGTCCCTAGTGGTTGGTATTTGGTGGCAGCTCTTGGTTCTTTGGCTGTTCATGTTTCATTGAAAACACGGAGATGTGGGCAGTGGTAAGGAAAGTAATTTTTTCTAATTTTTGTATCAGTATCCACAAGCGTTTGTATTTTTTGAATTGTAGACACTGTGTTTTCTGGTCTTTTGGGGGTTGAACTTCCTGTATTACCTTTTGGAAAACTTGAGTTTTACCACATTCTTAAACAGATTTGAAATAAATTCTTTTGACACTGCCAACAACTCGAAGTTAGGTGTGGTCTGTGGTCGCCAGTCAGGGGCCACTTCCTCATTTCTACAGACTGATACTGGCTGCCCACTGGTCAGTGTGATTCTGCTTCATGGGCCCCCAAATCTTGAAGTGATGACATGTGGCTTTAAATGACAAGGTACCAACTTCCCACAGCAGAGAAGTCATGGGTGCATTTGAAAAAAAACTGTGTGTGTGTGCCTGTGCACATATATGTGCATGTGGAGGTCAGAGGTCCATCAGGTACCATTCCTTACATACTGTCAACCTTGTTTTTTGAAACAGGTTCTTACTGGCTCCGAGCTCGCCAATTCCTAGCCAGCACGTTCCAGGAATCCATGTATCTCTGTCTTCCCAATGCTGGAATTATAAGTGCATACTGCCACATCCAGCTTTTAAAAGAAAATTTTATTTATGTGTGTTTTGCCTACATGTATATAAGTGTACCTCATGTGTGCAATGCCCATGGAGGCCAGAAGAAGGCATCAGATCTTCTGGAACTGGAGTTTTGGGTGGTTGTTAGCTGCCATGTGGGTGCTGGGAATTGAACCTAGGTCCTCTAGAAGAACAGCCTGCATTCTTAACCACTGAGCCATCTCTCCAGCCCCCCCCCCCACCCAGCTTTTTGATACATGGTTTCTAGGCTCAAACTTGAGTCCTCGGGCTTATATGGTAAGCCCATGAATTCATTTTTGCAAGAGGTAACAAGACTGGAAATATGTAAAAGTCCTCATATGGTTAAGATAAATAAGCCAGGTGTGGTGGCTCAGTAGTTACAAGACTAACACAAGAAGATCACAAGTTCAAGGCCAGCCTGGTCTACGTGCTGACATCCCATGCCAGTAACAAGATAAATCCATGAAAAAGTAGCTTGGGCTTCAGACCATCTTTGGGCAAACAACCTGAGCCAAGCATCAAGGAGATGGATGGGCCTTCAGCCATATGACTGAAACCACCCACACCTGGTCTGGAAACTGTCCTTCATGGCCTACCTCATGCCATGATCCTCATAAGTAGCAATATCTAATAGTCCCTAAGACTAGTTCCCACTGAACCACTAGATAGGGCTCAGCAGATGAGATAGGGTAGATTGAGCTTTGAGGGAGGCAGACTTAGAGGTTGAATACAAGTGTTTCCTAAGGGTGACCTTGAGATCAGCATGGAGGGGGCGAAGGAGAAGAGGCAGGACCCAACAGAGGCGATGTTAAGACCAATGAAAAACTGGGCATGGTCATTTATTTCTGCAATCCCAGTACTCAGAAGGCTGAGGCAGGAGCTTCGCCATGAGTTTGAGGTCTGCATGAGCTCATAGTGAGTTCCAAGCTGGCCAATGACTCTTCTCTCTCCTCTCTGGCTGCTTGCTCTGTATTGACCCATTCTTCCCTATACTTCCCCCCTACTCTCCTTGGTCTGGACAGCCCAGTGGTGTTCTGGCTCCCCATGGTGTCCTAGTTGCCTGCTGACATGTCTGTCTCTATTGTTCCATGTTCACAAGACCTGAATGTGTCACACAAATACAGATGAGTAGAGTCAGTTAAGACCAGCCAGAGTTGCCTCATTCAGGAAACCTGTCCAGAAGTTCACAGTTGAGCTCAGTGTCTTTCAGGACTGCTGTGCCCCTTTTATACATGTCCATGTGGTCACATAGTGGCTATGAGCCCAAGAGGGCAGGGACGCTGTTTGTCATACCTAGCATGACTTCTAATACGAGATGGTCAGGAAGGGATGGGGTATAGTGCAGGTAAAGTGCTTGGTGTACAAGTGTGAGGACCCGAGTTAATCCCAGGAACCCACATTTGATAAAAAGCCGGATGGAAGCCGGGTGTGGTGGCACACGCCTTTAATCCCAGCACTCAGGAGGCAGAGGCAGGTGGATGTCTGTGAGTTTGAGGTCAACCTGGTCTACATAGTGAGTTCCAGCCCAGCTGGGGCTACAGGGAGACCCTGTCTCAAAAAGACCAAAAAA